TATATGTATTGTATAAAATAAGAACAAAAACTGAGTGTTTTTATGTTTCAAATGAAAAACAGTTATAATCACCAATATATACAGTATAAATAAATACATTAGAATTTGAAATACATTTTAATACAACAAAATAGTATTTATTATCAAAACTTCCTCCATATAATTTATTACTGAAAACATATTATATTCTCTCTATACAATTTAAAACGGTATTCTGTATAGTTTTCTTTCTATAATAAATGAATATTTGATTCTTGATCATTACTGAGCTTTATTCAACATTTTATAATTCCTAAACATATGATTGCAGTAATGAGATATGCATAGGCGTAGATCCCGGGGGGATATATCCCCGAATATTTGGCAAGGGGGGGGGGGAGATGGTCCATTGTATCATCCCCCACAGAAATAATTGGCACTGTCTTATGCGCTTATAAAGATGAAAATTAGCATAATGTATTAATGTTAACAAAATTATTTTATCTGGTACCAATCTAAGCTCTTCTTTCCTTAGATGTTAGATGTGCTTGCAAAGAGAGCCACATATCACATTGAAGGGTGTGTACGACATCAGTAATGTTATGTCAATTCCAAGAATGTTTAAGGCTATATCGGTTGATGAGGAATTAATTGATTAGGTCTATAATAGCAAATTGCATCAATTTATTGTGCAAAAACTAGGTTTCCAGCTTCAGAGGGGGGCACATCCCCTGTCCGCACAAGGGCACACATTGGCGCTAACACCAGGCGCTTAACAGGGGTCTTGGGTCAGAGTGTGTATTTATTTTCCCGGTTAGTAATTTACCATACCCACCCCACCCCCCATATAGAAAACGATACGCCGACATAGGGCTTATCTTATTTATAATATAGGCCACACACGTGTGTTTGAAACTAAATATAAGCATTTTCATCATGGTTTTATTTATTACAAACATATTCTTTCACCATCAATACACATTGAGGCCCTTCTTTTAGGTTAAAACGATCTATCTTAAATTTGTCTTTCTTAAGTTTGGGACTATTAAGTGTTTAAATAACTCAAAAGGATAAACCTAAAAAAGCCCTAAAAAAAAGACGGGCGAAGCCCGCAAAATATTTTTGTTTTTAATTCTAATTTCGTCGGAATTGATGAAAACTCCCTAAAATGTGCAATTTATAGAGGAAATTGGCCTACCTTAACAAGAAATGCGCGCAAAGAATTTGAGAATTTTAGGCATTTTCAGAGGATGCATTTGTCAAGAGGTGGGGAAAGACTTTCCAAAGATGGATATTTTCCCCTTGTCCCCCGGTGTTTTTAATTCTAATTTCGTTGGAATTGATAAAAAAAAAAGGGGGGGGGGAATTTTTAGAGGAAATTGGCCCATTTTAACAAGAAATGCGCGCGAAATTTGAGGTTTATAGGCACTTTCAGGGGATGAAAGGGCATTTATAAAGGGGTGGGGAAGATTTCCAAAGATAGATATTTTCCCCTTGTCCCCCAGTGGTTACGCCATCGTGCAGCATAGATCAAAGGAGTTATGACAGATTTTGTGGAGAAGGGGTTGCAGGGTGTTGTGAGTCATTATAATATCTTCCTTTTTATTCTTGTCTTTATTTTTCTCTTCTCTTTTTCTTTCCTTTTCCTCTTCTTTCTCTTTCCCTCCCTCTCCCCACTTTCTTTTCTCTTATTACCCAGCCCGGTACGACAGCTTGGTCAGCCCGGTAAAAACCGTCAGGGGAGAGGCAGTTCCCCCCCCTGGATCTGTCTCTTATACACATCTAGATGTGTATAAGAGACAGGAAAAATACTTTTCTACGCCACTGGAGATATGCTCTCATTTATCATATTCAATATGGACAATAATAACAGAAATCATCATAAATACTCAAATAATGCATTGTGATCATTCATTTGCTCATACTACCTTGTATGTCGAAATATAAAAGATGTACATTAGGTAACTATAGTAATAGATTACATTTTTCCATTATATAATATTATATACTATAATGGTTATAGTCTAAATATACAAAACAATCAACAAGGTTATAGCAAAACTTATCAAAACACACATCATCTATAGACATAACAACAACAACCATCTAACACACCTACCAAACTCACACCTATCCAGTGGTCTCTAGTACACATTCAGATGCTTCAAAAGCGGTTCTAGTGGTGTTTATTTTCAGAGCTGATGTTTTAGAGTAACATTCCGCAAACTGTGGGTTGTGACCAAAATATTCTGGTTGGTCGCAAACCCTTGACAGAAATCACCAAAATCAGCTAGCTCAATTCTGTTGATGAATGACAAGAGCGTATCCACTTTCTCATTTGGGGGGGGGGGGCTGATAAGTATCCATACCCACCCCAGCCACACCATGGTTGGGGCTGAGGTGAGCAAATTTTAAGAATAGGCCCCTCAAGATGCTCGGAAATGGCACTCTCATATGGTAAAAATGGTTTTTCAAGGCAGTGTTCCTCGAAAAAATTATTGACTTCCTCCCTAAGGGAGCTATGCTCCCCCTCCCTTAGACACCCCTCCCGTCACGGGCGTCGCAAAGGTTTAATCAAGGACCTTTAGCCTGGGAGTCGCAAAGCAAATTATGATTATGGTACCTCTAGCAAAGAGTATAATTTTAACTGCAAGAGGTCTGACTGCCCTGATTTTGTATGCAGCAAGGTATGCAGGTAATGGAACGCTAAAATTACTGCCACAAAATAGGGGGCGCCTACACATAATTTAGAAACGCGTCTGCGTTGCTTGAACCTTTGACCACGCCCCTTCGTGGAAGTACTTTTTGCATTCCAATGAATCCCCGGCAGTTGGACCTCTTGCAGTTTTATACTCTTTGCCTCTAGATACCCAGAAATGGCATTCATTCAGACTTCAAATTTGAATATTTTATCTCCATTTTCAAAAAAATGTTTACAAATGTAGGCGGGTCCTGAGCCAGCTGGGCAACCCAAACCCACTGGACTAATATGATATACTGTATGTCCAGTCGATGTCAGTGACACATTACGCTGTTATGTATCAACAAAGCCCTTTTGGATCAGGGTGCAATAGAGTAAGGGCCCTACCGGACACTACCTATAGAGGAACCGAAGGTGCCTCCTAAGGATCCAGGGCCTTTGGAGCAAATTTTAAGAATAGGACCCTCTAGACACTCGGAAATGACACTCTCAGATGGTAAAAATGCTTTTTCAAAGCAGTGTTCCTCGACAAATGACTTCCTCCCGACAAGAGCTATGTTCCCCCTCCCTTAGACACCCTTCTTCTCATGGGCGTCACAAAGGTCTAATCAAGAACCTATAGGCTTTTCTATATACTGGGGAGTCGCAAAGCAAATTATGATTATGGCACATCTAGATGCCCGGAAATGGCACTCATTCAGACTTAAAATTTGAATATTTTTTCTCAATTTGTTTTTATTTTGACAAATGTAGGGTGGCACTGGCTGGCCGGCTGCGCACCCCACCCCACTGGCACTGTATGCCACGATGTCAGAGACACATTATGCTGTTATGTCAAAGGCATTGGCAATCAGTTTGCTATAGAGCGAGGACCCTACTGGACCCTCATGGGTAGGGGTACTAAAGGGGCCCCTAAGGGCCGATGGCCATGCGGACCGCCACACAAGAGCGCATAGGCGTTACGCCACTGAGCATGGATAGCTGTTCTATAGCTGGGGTACTACAATCTGGCTAAAAAAACTCAGTTTTTAGGTGTCTTTCTTTTTTGGCCTTTTTTACATCCTGATTTATGAAGTTGTCAGAGAAAATCGCCGTCGGGGATATAGCATTGTGTTCGTCATCAATCAATAGAAAATTTTTCACCCACTGCTGGATCTGCCACAGAACTGGGGGGGGGGGGTGATAAAGTCATCAATCTGCATAGTTTGTTGTACATTTGCAATGATCCAAGAAAGTACAATGTGGCTACAATCTTCAATGTTCATTATAATTTTGTCGTAATATTTACTATTGTTTTGCATTGTTCATTTATTTTAAATCTAAATTTAAAATCCCAGTCCCAAAATGGTGCACTAGGGCACCATTTAAGAATGAATTAAGAATGTGTGGATGTGTGGGGGTCAGTGGATTGCGATCTTTCTGAAGGCCAACGTTGTTCTACAAGTTTGTGGAATGATTTTCTATAGCATACAGTACCTGTATTATGCAAAAATATTTCTTTTTCAAAAACCAGTATTTCCTTTTACCCACTTGCATCTGTACTGCATGTAATAATTCCCCCTACAAACACATACACACAATCTAAACACACAATTAATACCTACTGTACACACATACACCCCTAAAGTACTATAATCTGAACTGTATTCAACAAGTAAGATTCTAAATATTGAGAGGCTACAAAAGTCAATGTCTTTTTTTTTGGTTGTGCTCTTGTTCCTGTAAATCTCTTCCATTGCAACATAAAATAAGACAGCCCACAGCAACCTTCTCTCCCCCCTCCCCATCCCTTAAGCCTGGGATTCACTGCACCCGAAGGTCTTCAGCCGACAAGATTCTATGAAGAACGCAGTGAGTGCCTGGCTTTACATGTACAGTAAACTATTCTGAGTATAAAAAATAAGACAGTCAAAAATACCTGTATTGCTGAAAAGCAAATTCTCCCATTGAGCATTTAAAAATATTTTGCCAACCAATTTCTCAAGGAAAATATTTCAAAATTTAAAATTTATGTTTAGTTTTTAGAGGAAAATACTGTACGTTAAAAACTATTATTATAGTATAGAGCACTATGATATAAATTTAAATTGACTCAATAGGCTGACCATTCTACATTAATGCAACTGATTTACCGTACAGGTTACTAGGGAATATATTAAATCTATAGAATCATATCCCTTCACATCTAACTCATCAATCAACAATTAATTGACACAGTAAATTACAACAGAGTATTAAATGCATACACTGTGTACCATTGTACACATGCTTAAACTAAAGATAAAATGCTTTGAAATCACCTTTTCTTGTCACATGACATTCAAGGTCATAAGTTACAATAATTATACTTTGATTACTAGAGGTCCTATAATTTGAAAGAAAGTTGCAACATGAGCCACTTGTGGTGTCATATTGGGGGCCATTGTATGCATGTTTTTTTTTTTCTTGTCCGTTTCCTTCCGTTGTTGTCAAGCGCCTCAAGGTTGGTCCAACGGGAAGCGCTATACAAATTGCAAATTATTATTATTATGAACAAACGTAATGCCTATGCTACAGTGTGACGATTGCATAAATAAATTCAAAAAGAAATTGATTCTCAATAGGCTATTAATAATTATTATATTAAACGTAGTTTTTGCTTGACTAAAATAGTGTAACGCCTTAGCTAGGCATACAGCATCGCGTTCATTTAGGTTTGTTCTAAAAATAGTAGGCGACTAGGCCTAGGCCTCTTACTTATGCACAGGACAACTGAAATTCGTAAGTAAATGGGTATTTGTGGCAAGCCTCTAGCTAGGGTGCCAGTCCAAGGGTATCTCCAAAATAACTATAGTATAATAAGAGAAAGTCATACGGTAGCTGAAATAGTATTAGCTAGTAGTCTAGTAGTACTAACGTGTAGTACTACGTCTGTACTGAGGCCTATTTTAATACACTACTTAGGCTCTTCTTTACCCATCTTGAATTTAGAGGTTGAAGAATGTTGTTAATTTTTTCCAATCATAGTGGTGTAGAATAGCCTTAACAACATTTTCCTGAAAAAATAATGTGATACGGCCCTTCGTTATGTAGTTATGAATTTTAAATAACATGAGGTCAAGAATTTAGCCTCAAAACATATCTTATTTTTGTTGGTTACATGCACCACTGTCTTCAGATGTTGGCCCCAATATGACAGACTGAGGGCATCTAGTAATCTACAGTAAGACCTGAACCGCTCATGTTGCAACTCTATCTATAGAGGAACTCTATTGATTACTTATGAAGAGCGCCACCAACGAACAAAACTAGCATCATTTGTATAAAACAATACAGACAAAAGTTAATAATATTGAATTAAAATTGAAAATATTTGATACAGTACAAAAATGTACATATGAGGAGCCCATAAACTAAACAGGGAAGGGACAAGCATGAAAAAAGGTACAAAACAATGCCATGCTAAGCTCTGATCAATTGCAGGTCAAATAAGTCACAATTCATAAACAAAGAAAGCCCATTTAACCAGAAGTGTGCACACATATCCAGAAATACACCAATAATCTATCAAGTTTACAATACGCTAACAATTAAAGACATGTGTAGAAGGTACTGTACATCTAAATACTGGTTTTACCTTTGATTACTGTAGTAAGTATTATGCCATGGCAAAATGAATTTACTTTTGGATAATAAAGTATTTTTGAATTTGAAAGCTACATTCAATAGTGAAATTCATAAGATATCATTAATTATCTAACAAAATCTTATTTTAGGAGTTGGCATTTGATAATAAAATTACACTCTTTAACAAACCAGATTTATTCACTATCAAAACATTCATCAGTATGATTATCATTCTTGATTAGTGCCAGAGAAATGTCATTATGATTTGACTGGCCCACCAATGCATATTTTCTTTCATAAGAAAAGAAGCGAAGTACAAATGCTACAATGCAATAAACGACTGTGAGAAAAAACATATCCATTAGAAGATGCCACGTGAAAGCTACAGTTATAAACATGACGTTTTTATGGTCTTCCCGAGACCAAGGTTCACCTGAAGGTGGGTTGTATAAGACGATGGCTATCATCCAGAACCATGTGCCTTGCAGCATTGTACATGTTATTCGCATGATTTTAAAAAATTTCTCATCACTACCCCACGCTTCTCCGAGAACACCACAGAAACATCCAAAGATAGCGATTACCAACATGATGTGAAGATGCACATCAAGTTCACTTCGATGATGAACGTGAAAATAGAATATCATCCCTTCTACAGCAAAGGCAATAGCACCGAAAATCTTCTCATACCTTTTGACTGACGGTAATGCCGTTTTTGATAGTGCCATAATCATTCCATACAAGCCAAAATATGTATACATCGTGCAATGCTGCCACTCAACTGAGTACTGAAATTCACCATCTGCTCCTACGAGAGTCCATTTTGGGGATGGGTATGACATTTCTCCAATTACTCCTGCGATGGCAAAGATGATAATAACAATGGCTTCAATGGGAAGTCTGCTGAGTAGACGCATGAGGGCACTCTTCTTACGATGCACTGCACCATTTTCATGGTATGACAGTTGGATGATCCACCAAATAGCAAAACAAATAAAGAAGGAGCCTGGGGCTACATGGCCTAAAAACGTTCCCATTGTCTGGTACTACAGTACAGTATACGGTATATATCTACAAATAAAAAATATATATAAGATACATGGCAGGAACTGTTACATTTAAATGAAACATGAAAAATTTAAAATAGAGGGGCCCAGCGATCAACTTTTCAGATGTTGCAACACCTGGAGCCTCTGGCATTTTTTTAATGCATGCATTTTGATCTTTGAGGTTGACAGAGAAGGAATATATTACATATTCTTTGGTACCAAAAAGCCAATATTTACCTTTTTTGGTTTTCTGAAAATTTGGGACACAGAGAAAGAATGCATGAAAATGTGGGAGACTCCTGATCGAATCAGCAGGTCTAGACAAATCATGCCAGCTGGGTCCCACTGATTCTGCCTGAAAACCAAAATTTCTTTTTAATTGATTTACTTTATTCAAGATGACAGAATATTATATAATAATAATAATATATATATTATATATTATATTATTATAATATTATTATTATTATTATTATTAAGGATTCAGGAATACAGTATCGTTTATATTTATTGCATATAGGCTCACAGTTAGTATGTTATTGCCATGTAATCATATGAAGCGATACTGCAAGATATAAAAAATATGCTGTGGTTAGAGATATGGTACCGTTATTTCTACTTGAATTTGCTAGAGGGATGGCATTACGTTACCATCACCCAATGAAGTGCTGAAACCTGTGTGACGTCATCTTTCAAAATTGGCAACATGAGCAGTGTGACCAGCGAACAATGTAGGCCTACTTGATTAGCACCTGATTAGCAAGGCAAAGAGTACAGTATTTTTCTTATAATACTGTCATCGATAAATAGGCGTAAGGGTTCCACTCATAAGAGTCATGTCATTTATCTATAACCATATCAGTCTTTGGTCTAATCTATTTACATGACAAAACTTGCACTTGCATGTGTATTCAAAGTGTATCGATATTTTGGTTGGATTGTAAAGCATGGTAATTTCGAGTACTTTATATTCAGTCTTATAAGACTGAATATAATATAAGTTTTAGTCCAAGGCTGGCTTTTTGGACTAAAGCTTGGGATGAGATTTTGGGGGTTGAGAACCTCAGACTTACTGTCACTTGGTATGACCACGGAGGAATTACTGTAGTTTATGACTGATGACTGATGCCACCACAGATCGATCTATCACTACAAGCGAAGCTTCTACTGTAATATTACCCAGTACATCGTTCGCTTTTCACCGCTCATGTGATCTGCAATACGGTACCGTATCTTAACTTCCATTTGATAAAGGTACGGTAAATTGCATTATCCCATAAATTGCCACCAGCAGCATGATGACATTGTTCAAAAATTGTTCGCTGTGATCCTGCTTTCCTGCTGAGTTGTTACACAAAAGCGACATAAGACAAGGCAAACTCAAGCACAAAACAAGTCCATAATTGAGCCAAAAATGAATACAGTAAATAAAATTAAAAATGCAACGAGTACAGAACAATTAATGGAAATCTTCTATCGCATATTCTATATATAAACCAAGAGATACATTACATGACGTAACACCTTTACTGTAAAATAGCCAAGACTGCAGGCCTATACAATAACAATGTGTTAGCTTTCTTATGAGAAAGGATGGTATACTGTAATTAATTTTACCCTTTCCTGATATAGAATAACATTTGACCTGACCATTAGGCCTACTATGTGAAAGATAATACAGTACTCCATTAGTTATGTACCGGTAACTTATTATTACAGTGTCATGAATAACAATATTTTGCGTTAAGTTTTAGTTAAAATCAATTTAGTATCTTCTTTTTGTATTTGTATTTTGTTTTCACAATCACTAATATGGTGGGTTGCTACCTGTATGATTCAAAAATGAACCCAATAAAATTCAAATCAAACTCCAAGAAAAGTAATAAATGCCATCGTGTTGGGATTCAATAGTTCGACATTTACTGTGGAGTGTATTTAAAAAAAAATGTGTTTTGAGCAGGGCGTTGTTAACTACAACTCCCTACTTGGAGTTACACTTTCATATCAGGCTAAATCAAATATATATTTGCACATAGTCAATAGAAAAATATTGGTCTGGAAACTAAGCGCGCGTAACTATGTCACTGTGCTTCATCCTTTTAATCTATGTTTTCAGGATCATCGAAGCGTGACCCTGCAAAGTTTCTAAGTACTGTACGTTCACATACGATATCCAAAATAAAGTTCAGATTCAGACAGTTTTCGCTATATTTCGCTCATTTTATATATAAATTTGATTTAATAGAACAAGTTTATTATTGTACACATGCCTGGTGATAATTGCTACTTCAATTTTTGTGGAGTAAGTCATCGGAAAGGGAAGAAAAACCCTGAAGGGTTTTGTAGGTTTGTATAACTATTGATAAAAGCTTGTCTTACACAATATCTGTATTTAACTGGTTCATACCTGATGATCATTATCTGTACAAATATTTCAAAAGAACAGTTAAGCTAGTGAAAGTTTCAGACCTTCAGAAAATAGACAAAATGAGGATATGTGCAGGAAGGTCAATAAGACATGCCATCCCTATGCAGGTTGATGTTGAAGATCAACCATTTTCTACGAAAGATTTCTACCGTTCGATAGAATGCCAAGTACTCATTTATGGAGATAAATATTACACATGTGAAGAGAGAGTTACTATCATGGCCGGCGGAAGCGGGGGGACCTGGGGCCCCCACTTTTTGGCAAAAAATATATAATGTCTGGAGATTTTTGTATGGCTGCTGAGAAAGTTTACCTTACCATTTTTATGAGGGGGAAAACCTTGAATTTTGAAGAACAAAGTCATTAGACACCTAGATCAAAAGTCGAGAAATTTCCCGCCATCTAGAAATCAAAATTTTCCCGGGGGAGGAGAGGATAGGTCGTTTATAAAAGAAGGGGCTCAATGTGTAATGATGTTGAAAGAATATGTTTGTAATAAATAAATCCATAAGGAAAATGCTTATATTCAGTTTAAAAAAACGAGTGTGGCCATATATAACACAAGAGCATTTCTTGTTGAGGTAGGCCAATTTCCTCTAAAAATTGCACATTTTAGGGAGTTTTGATCAATTCTGACGAAATTAGAATTAAAAAAACACAAAAATTGTTCGCGCATTTGTTAGGGTTAAGGCACGGCTTGCCCTCCTTTGCCTTCTAAGTTATTTAAAAACATAATAGTCCCAAACTTGAGAAAGAAAATTTAAGATAGATCATTTTACCTAAAAGAAGGGCCTCAATGTGTAATGATGGTGAAAGAATAGGCCTATGATTGTCAGGGGTTTATTTATGAATTTGAGTAGCAGGAGAAATTTGAAACAGGAGAGTAAATTATAGGGGGGGGTGCCTAGGCCCCCATCGGGGTCAAGGGGCAAAGCCCTGGTCGGGGGTCAAGGGGGCGAAGCGCCATTGCGCTCCAGGGTATTAGAGTTTTTTAAGCCCATTTGATGGCATTTCTCTACATCATTTTTTTTGAGTAGGTTAGAATAGGCCTAGAATTTACGAATTTTTCGAGCTCAACATCGGAATTTAAGGTCAGAATATTGATTCAATAATTGAAATACATTCTTTTTTAAGTTTATAAACATTTAATAAAATCCACCCAAATAAATTGAAAATACAATTTTTATAATGATGAAGTTGATTACTTTTCACAAATATGTTGAAATTTGTGGGGATTCACCATTTAGGCCTATGCGCCCTAGATCTGCGTTGAAGAAAACAAAGGAGAGCAAAAAATAGTTCTAAAATTTACGCAGATATCGAAAAGGAATGGATACCACATTGGAAAAAAATGTCTCATGTGATGTCGTAAATTGAGACGATTTGGGCTTGCTTTGCCGTTTAATCATTGTAGGCCTACTATCTATAACTCTGAAATTGTGAGTGTAAACAGCATTCAATATAGTTGGTTCGCCTTGCTACCTCCGCCACCGAGTGTAAACGAATTTGAGCCAGTGTTGGTTTTTTTCTTATTATTTATCATTTCCGAAATATCTATGTCATCACAAAGAGGGCTAGTAAAATTAAAATAAAATGAAAATAAAAAGGTTCATAGTCATACACAAATTAATTTAAAAATGACGATCTGTTTTTTTCTTCTCCGCGGTAAGAAAACCCGGAAGCCCAATGTACGGAAAAAGAGTTTGGGCGATCTATATATAGTCATCACCGGAGCACGTGGTGGAGGAGAAATTTCTATTATCTTATTGGCTAACATGTGATTTGGAGGCGTGGCTTCTTTGATGGACTCACCCAGGCGCGACTACCGAACTTTGAACTTTAGCTTTGTTTACGCCGTGGGTTCATGAAAGTCAAACATGGAGTCTGAGAATTGGTAGACATTTTAACGAACTTTCAACAGAAAGAAACATCGAAATTGGTGCATACTATTGCAAATTAACTTCGTGTAGGTAAATAAGGTTCTTTACAGGCCTGTTGCACTATTTATATTGGTGGTTTTTGTATTAATTTTTGTACAGCATTGATTGAAGTAGCCGGCGAAAACATCGTAGTAGCCGATCAAATGCGCCGGCCGCCGGCTCTTAAATAAACCCCTGATTGTAATAAATAAAACCACGATGAAAATGCTTATATTTAGTTTCAAACACACATGTGTAATAATAAAATAAGCCCTATGTCGTATTGTTTTCTATATTGGGGGGTGGGGGGTGGTATGTATCACATCAAGTCATAAATTACTAACCGGGAAAATTATTACCTTTGCCACCACCCCCCTGACCCAAGACCCCTGTTACGCGCCTGCTTATAAGTTGGGCCCCCCCCCCCACTTTGAAAAACATTCCGCCGGGCCTGACTATCCATCGTAGACAAAAAATGAGGCGCAGTGATGCAAGAGACCATGTTCCAGCCAAACCTAAAGCTCCTGTCAGCCTCACTTCTGCAAAGCGGTTAAGCTGACTTTACAAGCCAATTGTTTAAAATGCAGCTAGAATGACAAATTAATGCACTAGTCTGAAATAAAAAAAAAAAACAGCACTGAATTGAGCCATGATGTACTGAAAATGATCTCCAGACATCATGATGAAATGAGTCCCTTTATAAGATTATTCTGGCAGCAACAACAAAAAATTGCTTCAAGCTGCTGGAATGGAAGAAGATATCATCCTATATGATCATAAGATGGTGTCTTTCAAATTGCTTCAAAATCATCTGCTGCATATGATGAACTGAGGGGTACTTTGTGTAGTATAGAGATGCTTGGACACAACTAAAAAGGTTAGATCGTTTAAGCCGCCGAATAGTAGTATGTATTTTTAAACATATTTATATGTAGGCCTATCTATTATTTAACTACGACCAAAGCTTAAATAAATAATAGGCCAGCTTACATTACTACAGTAAATGACATTTACATTTTAAATTATATCAAAGCATATTGATTTAGGGCTAAAATAAGCAGCGACAACCACTAGCGTTTGATCCATAGGCCTAGGCCCATGCCGAAACGACCCAGGCAAGAGCGACCCCAGGCCGAAACGATCTGTTACCGCCTAATGATCGTACGAATAACTAAAAAAACAGTCTAGGGCCTAGACATTGCAGGCTTAGCCAAGAACTAGGTTCTGCTCTTTTTGGGTGAGAGTTTTAACACATGAAATGGCGCTAATGAACTTTAGTAATACTTCTATCTTCAAAACTTGTCTTTTTACCTACTGTGTGCTCCTAACAATATCTTACGATGTTTCTTCATTCAGATTCTGCTTAACAACATCGGTTTTTAGCATTTTATTACTAAAAACAAGGTAATTTAACAAAAGGACGCACATCTCCGCTCTCGAACATAGCGCGTGCGTACAGTCCTTTGATCTTTGCTGTGGCATCGACAATCCGATACTAGTTGCGAGTACAGCCGTCAATTATTAGTCTATGCGTGCCATTCGTTTTATGGTGTTAGTTTTTATTTTATTAATTTTGGGTACTTCGCAATGTCTGTTACATT